TGGGACATTCTGCAAAGAAGAAGTAATAACATTACAAAGTGTATTTGTTTGTTCACCTTTTAAAATTTTTGGATGCCTTTCTTGATAATGCTTAAGCAACGATTTTTGACGTTAATGCAATGCAATGCTTAAAATTGTACTTCTTACATAGCACTGATTTTGCAAAATGCCAAGATATGGAAAAATGTAGAATATTGACTTGGAAGAGATTTTCGGAAGAATTTTTGGCACTGACAGTTGTTTCAAGTCTTGTGATATCAAAGTTGTACAGAGTTGAACCATATGCAGTCATGTTTTGCAACTCGGAAAGATGAATCATTATCTTCGGTAATCGCTTTTTGACAGGTAATAGCAAAATCAAAATTGGCTGATGATAACAAGACTTGAAGATAGTTGGCTACATATTTTTTCCGCTATACCACTGTTTTGAAATAGTGTAAATGAAGGTTGTAATGCGTGGTCTTTAGTCTTTTTCTGCTGGATTATCAAAGCTTTCGGTTGTCCTTTGGGGATGATCTTGGTTTGCGCAGCGCGCAAAACTGTGAAAATGACTTTTGTAGTAGACAATTTGAGTAGAAAAAATAATAATGTATTTCCGTTATGCATGAATACTAATGCATCATAACGAATTACAAAACCTTAGGAAGCACCACAAGGAATACCGGTGTCAGCTCCACAAGTAGTCGTAACCGTCTGCTGACATATGTTGCAGCTCCATGGTACTTTTCGATGATAAACATATTTGTATTTTACAATTGGGCGCGGCGGTCGCATAGGCTTCTGAACAACGACAACAACTGGTGGTGGTGGTGGTGGCGGTGGTGGTGGTGGTGGTGGTAGTGGAGGAGGTAGGAGCGGAGGAAGTAGCCAGAACTTCGGACCGTGCCAACGTCTCCTTGGAGGCATGATGTAACGTTCTCTTACAATTTCTTTGACTACAGTAGTCTGAGGTTGTGTGCACGAAGGTAGAGTGCACGGTACTTGCGCTGGTGCAGGAGCTGGACCTGGAGGTGGTGCCGGAGGTGGTGCCGGAGGTGGTGCCGGGGGTGGAGTCGGAGGTTCCGTTGGAGGTTCTGGAGGTGGAGGAGGCGGAGGGGGAGGCTCCGTTGGAGGTGGCGGAGGTGGCGGCGGATTAGCAGTCTTACAAGGGTCGCAATCAGCTTGGCGAACGTATCTAAAACGAAACTTTTGTATATTTATAGACTCGGGGTCCATTGACTCTTTACTATGCTTATTCTAACACTTTATCAGCTGACAACATAGAAATTCTCGATTTCTAAGCTTCCTATAGAAAGCAGTCAGTAATCTGTTGCATAGTCTATATAATCCTAATATGAATTTTCTTCCAAACAGTCTTTATTCTCACATAACATGAAGTGTTCGTTGAAAACTGAATCGTCTCAATTGATAGGTTTTGAACAATCGCTGCTACGGTCTCTTATTGTATATGGAATTAATCAATATTTTTGTGGCTGCTTCTTGCTTTAGTTCTTCTAGACATGTAACCTACTCCCTAAGCTAAAACGCTCAAGCGTTGTTTAAGGGAGTTCCTCATGAAAAACATCGCAGATGACAGAAATTGTAGCAATCCTTTATGATTATTTTCATGCATGCGTAGAGCGGTATAATAGATATAATTTATATATGGAATTGTCGAAGGGAGATCGTTTTATTCTATCCTAATGTCTTGTAGATAAACCGCGCCTTCAAAGTTTTATCGGGGCAGGACCAAGCCAGGCGCGGTAAGACCATTCGGGTGGAGGGCTATTTACCGCCAATAGGCTCCGCTCTCGCGGATTATTAATGATTTCCAAGATTACAAATTGTAACAATTGAATGTAAGGGAGCACCTTGATTAGACTGAGGAACTTCAAAATAAGCTGACACACTCATTGGAATCCTCCGTTAAGAAAAAGTCGGCGTTTTCTATTTTGTAGGAAACATGGAAATGGAACAGTTGTCCACGGGGCAGGACTTAAAGGAGGTAAATAGTCCTCCACGCGGCCATCCCCGTCGCACGCCCCGCACCGAGATGTAGTGCGACCTAGATGAATGTGTTAAAACAGCTTAGAGAAAAACACTCTGATGAAGCAGTGATGCGGTTGGTTCTGCGCCTGACAAAACTTCGGGGTGCGGTTAATCTGTAAGCGATTAAGGTGTTAGCTAAACGAAGTTCTCTTACATATTTTTAATAGAACCATTCAATGATAGTCTAATTTATTTTATATTGAGAAGAAAACCAGAATGGTGAAATGCTACAAAAATCAATTTTAATCAGCTTTACTAGCAGATTTGCTTAATCTATTCTGGGGTATGGACTGAAGTCATTTCCAACAAAATCCGAGTATGACCTTACGTTTTAATTCCAAGAAAACAATCCAAAAATTAAACTTCGGAGTTGTTCTTCCAGATTGACAAATGAGGACAACGCAAAAACTTGAACAGTAAGTGGAACTGTCAAAAAAATATGATTGGTCTCATCGGTCATACCAGTACTTGATAATGGTTTCAAAAAGGCATTCTGAATTTTGATTATGCGCTAAAGAACAATGAATTGAAGTGAGAGTCCGCAAAACACAAATTTAGCATTGAAACTGGATGATACATAAAATGCTGGGCACCTAGAAAATGTACCCACTGTTTGAATTTTGTCATGTCTTTGAAATCTTTTCCCATCAGTAATAAGAAGAGGACGCAACTCAACTCTGTTGTAAAAAAGAAATTTACCTTTCATTACTGTAGCGACAGCATCTATTTTTTAGAAGAAAAAACACTAAGCTGAGAATATTGGCCTTGCAAGGAAGTATTGCTTTATCCATTGATCTTTATCCTTGCACCAACATAAGAATGAACGTATCTTGCCTCAACGCTATCTGATAAACTCGGTGCATTTTTGAAATATCAAGCAATGTACTATGGGAGGGCCTGAAGTGATAGCAAGGTTTTGAACCATGAGATTTTCTGGCCACTGCTCTTGTTCTAATCTCAAAAAGTCCGCGTTATGCTTTGCTGCTGCGTGTCACTTATGCTAAGTTCGTGCTCTAAAAGATTGTATTCTCCTGATAAAATTTTAAAAAACCATCAGAAATTAGTTCTCGCGCTCGGACTGTATACGTAGTTTTGCACTATTACCGAGGTATAGGTGTCCTACACATCTAAGCTCCATTTCGCTTCTCTCCATCTCCAAAGTTTGGAGAATGTTATGAACGCAAAGTTTTGACATTCGGGTTTTAATAAATTTCTCACAAACTCAGTACATCGAGGAGGGCTACAGCCATGATGGACCAAATAGTACGCGCATTGGCTGCTTGCGTTTCTACGCGAATTCATGTTTAGGGAGATTCCCTCGTAGTAGTGGTTTGAGCAAAT